TTGCCGGACACGAAAAAAAAAAAAAAAAAGACAAAAAAAAAGAAATAATCTTTTTAAATGAAGTAAATTACAATAAATTAAATAAAATGCTTAACTTGCTAAGTGGGAAAAAGTATGCAATTATAACATTTAATGCAATTATGAAAAGTTGCACTAAAATGGCTTTCATAAATCAATCTTCAATAGTATACTTATTTAAAACCACCTTTTATTCGGAATCTCTGCAACAATAAAAGAAAAAATAAATAAAACAATTTTTTAACTGAAAATCATGTTTTTAGCCTATACTATATAAACAGAAAGAAACAATTAAAAGACATTCCAAGGGGGCTGACTTCCTTGAGATGTTAAAGGCCACCATCAAAATTGAAGATGAATCATCCCCAGTCACATCCAAAACAAAACAAGTATGACTGTTAACATGACTATTTTTTTTTCCTTTTTGTCTTTTTTCGTGACCGGTAACAGGATCACAACCCTCGGTGTTGCGCCCGTACCACGACCGGCAACGGGATCACAACCCTCAGTGTTGTGCCCGCACCGCGGTCAACCAGTGAGCGGACCAGTCTCTATATGGGATCCGAACCCTCGGCGGGAGCACCGCAGCACTCCCAAGCGCCACACTCTACCGAGTGCGCCACCAGGCTGGCCCTAACATGACTATTTAACGTGGTGCTGTCACACTAGCCAGAACTATACAACATCTATTTTTTCTAAAGTTGAAATACAGAAAAGGGAGAGACCAAATTACTTATTCAGTGGAGGTGTTGTTCTGTCTACAATAGCCAAGAATCCAAGGAAATACTATTAGAATAAAAGACATCTGGGCTGGCCCGGTGGCGCACTGCTATAGTGCGCCACTTGGGAAGCGTGGTGGCGCTCCCGCCGAGGGTTCGGATCCCACATACAGACCGGCCGCTCACTGGCTGAGCGAGGGGCAGGAGCAACACCGAGGGTTACGATCCCGTGGCCGGTCCTGGTCCGGTATGGGCGACACTGAGGGTTGCGATCCGTTGCCGGTCACGAAAAAAAGACAAAAAGGAAAAAAAAAAAAAAGAATAAAAGACATCTGCATGGTCTCTGAGTAAATACTAATATGCAAAACCCAACAGACTTACTCACTGCAACAATTAAGATGAACAATGCATAGAGTGAGGGTGATCTTCTCCACAGTAGCCATAAAAATTAACAGCCTCTGGCACAAGTTTAGCAGTCAGTGGACAGGACAACCAGGAGGCAGCATGGGGCTGCTGAGATCTTCCAAGAAACCCCAAGAAAGAGGAGAGTACACCGGGCCCTGGGCCCGAGGAGGATGGGAGATCAGTGGGCCCTGAGCCCCAAGGAGGAGAGAACATCAGATCCCCTGGGTCCCAAAGAAGACAAGACTAGACCAGGCCCTGGGACCCAAAAAAGATGAGAGCACACCAGAAACTCGTCCCTGAGGAAAACAAGAGATCACTTCGTTGTCCTAGGCGCCCAAGGAGGAAGAGTACACACCATGTCATGGGCTGCGACAGACCTCGGTTTCCTGTTCCTACACACGGGTACCTCGGTTCCCAAAACTCGATCACAGGAGCACACTGGGCAGAGGATCCTGCCCTGCCCACTCCTCCCCCCACGTCTGAAGTACAATTAAACCTGCTTTTCTCCCCAGAACTTGAGTGAACCTTTAGGACCAACCTCCCTGGGATGCGGGGGGAAGCATTTATCCCGTCCCCTTGAACATCTCTGGCCCTCCTTGACCCTTCCTATGCTCTCCAGAAATAGGGTGGACATTTAGCCTAACCTTCTGCACACTTCCGGTCTGCCAAAACTCTCCGCTCCTCCCCAGACATTGAATGGATACTTAGCCGCGCCCACTCCACATTTCCAGGAAGGCCCGCCCATTTTCTATCAGAAACTTGGGAATTTTAGCCTCAACCCCTGCACACTTTCTATCCTCCCAGCCTTGCCCTTTCTTCCTCTGCTTTGATATGGGTGCATCTTTAGCACCCCCACCACCATCCCCCCATACTTCCACTCACCTTGTGATCCCTCCCTCTCTCCTGAACTTCGGTGGACTTTAGCTCCGCCCCTTACTCTCCGCCCTCCCTGTCTCCTCCCCTCCCATTTCTAGGCCCGCCCCCATACTTCCGTTCCTTCCCGCCCTTCCTCCTCCCCCAAAAGATGTAATAATTAGCCCCGCCCCCCACCAAGCCTAACTCACTCAGCACTTCCGGCCCAAGCCCTCCCCCACGCGCCTTTCCTTGCTCCAGCTTCCGGTCCGTCCCACGCGTGGCCACCCACGTGGCGGGTCACAACTCTCTCCAGGCCTGGGTTGCCGCCCAACGAAGTGTTGGGGCCCCGCGGCTTAGCGTCCCCCACCAGAAACCTCCCCCTGCCCAGGAGGGCCTCCAAGGGACCCCGCGAGGGCCCTTTTCTGGCTAACCCCGGCTTCGCCTGCAGCCCCAAACGGGCTGGACAAGATGGCCGCCGCACGGGTGAGGCCGAGTGGCGCGCGCCGCGGGGCCTCTGGGAGTTGTAGTCCAGCCGACGCACTGACGCACTTCGCCGCCGGTCGACGGGCGCCATTGTGCGGCGCGCGCCGGGTGAGTTCGGCGCGAAAGCCGCGCCCGTCGGGGGCTGCTCGGGGTCGGTGCTGAGCCACTGCTTGGGTCGAGTGCAGCCTCGGTCCCTTCCCCGCCAGTCTCGGGAGCGAGAAGCCAGCCTTGCCTGCCGTTCTCTGCCGCACGGCCGGAAGGGGCGGTGTAGTCGGGGACCCGGGAAGCTGATGATTGACAGACAAGCCCCCCGGGCATGTAGGGTTTGGGAAAGGCAGACGACCCTTTGGGCGTGTGGGAGGAGGAAGAAAGGGTTTCCTCTCGATTAGAGGAAACCGGTCTTCTCCAGTCGTGTTGCGGGGGGGGAGTGACTTGGACTTGCGATGTCGAGGTGGACTTGTCATTTCCCGCTGATGGAGCAGTTTTCGGGCAGAGGCTGGGGAAGCACCTTGGTATAGTCCTTACAACTCCTTGCCCCCCACCTTCGGTCTTCTCAGGACTCTGCCCAATCCCACCAAGTGACAGACTGAGGAGGAGGAAATTATGGTTTCCAGGCTTCCGACGGCCTGGTCCTGTGTGAGTAGAGGCTTCATTCAGCTTTTGAGTCTAGTTCTACATCTGAAGGGGGTGCCTCAGAGCGCCCCTCCTCCACACCCCGCCGCCCCAGGCACCTCGCAGAGGGGGCAGGGATTGACTGGGCATGAGAGACCCTACGTGATGGAAGAACAGCAGGTTACTTCGCTTTCCAAGGAGATGGTGAGAACAGAGGCCAGATCATGGAGGATTCTGAGGGCCAGGATAAGGCCCTTGAGTGTATCCTTGTAGTGGGAGGAGAAAATGACAGGTCTAAACCGGGATTAGGCTTATGCTTAAATTTCAACAGGTGCTTTGGCATAAAGCAAGAGATGAAATCAGCTGAATTCAGTAACAAGGAAATAAGAGAGATAGGGGTGGATCCCTGACAGGTGAAGCAGGTAGAAGTAGCAGGGGCCATGGTGGGTGCTGAAGGCTTCCATGTGATGATTCAGTTCAGGGAAATTTCCTAGGAGGCATATACACCAATCCCAGAGTCAGAATCCTCAAATTAATAAGAAATGGGCAAGCTTTCATAGTCTGAGAGGTCTCAGGTGTTGTACTTCTTACTGTAACCTGAACAGGGTCAAGCTTGGGCTTGCCCAGAGTTTCAGACAAAGGTAGGAACTCAAGATGAGGCGCCCAGAATGTTCTAGGGTCATCTTGTAGACTATCCTGTGCCTTCATGGGCTCTGTCAGCCTCCCATCTCTTTCTGTCATCATGGATGAGGATGGGCCCTGGCTGAACAAGAACCTGTGGATTTTAGGAACCAGTGACCTTCGAAGATGTAACACTCGGTTTTGCCCCAGAGGAGTGGGGACTGCTGGACCTCAAACAGAAGACCCTGTACAGGGAAGTGATTTTGGAGAACTACAGGAACCTGGTCTCAGTGGGTAAGGCTGGCCTCCATGTCAGTAAAGATTTGCACTTTGCAGCACAAATGATACCTCTGAAGTGTGTGTCTCCTTGGGCCCAGGCTGCAGGGATCAGAGTGGAAGTGATAAAGTTCTGGAGCCCAAGGGCAGGGCTTTACTTTGCACCCATAGGAAAAGGTCAACTTCTTAGCACAACTTTTGAAGCTTCATCTAATCCGTTCCTCAGAGTCTAGGGAGGTGGGTCTGTCAAGAATGTTTTCAGGGCCCACCCTGTGGCGCACTTGGTAGAGTGCGGCGCTTGGGAGCGTGGCGGTGCTCCCACCGAGGGTTCGGATCCCATATAGAGACCGGTCCGCTCACTGGTTGAGCGCGGTGCGGCGCGACAACGAGGGTTGTGATCCCGTTGCCGGTCGTGGTACGGGCGTGACACCGAGGGTTGCGATCCCGTTACCGGTCACGAAAAAAGACAAAAAAGGGAAAAAAAGAAAGAAAGAATGTTTTCAGCTGCGGTGATGGGTGCTTATTGTTTTTGTAACAAGAATTCAAGGGGATGTGGTTGGTGTCGGTGTCCATCAACTCAGGAGTATCATCAGAGGCCCTGATCTATCTTTCTGGTTATCGTGAACCTCTAGTGTGGCTTTGGCTCTAAGCATTGTGTCTCTATTCATGGCAAAAACGAGGAGGGGGCAGCCCTGGCCAGCTCTATTTCACAGCTGTTATTTTTAGCAAGAGAGCAAAAGTTTTCCATGAAGGCCCCCCAGCTGACTAATCTTTCTTTGTGTCTCACTGGCCAGAGCTGGGCCCCACACCACTACTGGCAAGGGAGTCCAGAAAAGCCAACAAATGGGATGGATGGGGTTACTGTCACTGCCCTAGGCCAGAAGTCATATTATGCCCTAGCAGGGGAGAAGGCAGGGACAGCTTGTGCTGCAACAGGACAGCATTTTCTCTCAAATGCAGACCTCCAAGCTTTATCTCTTTTCCTTTGAGCAGAACATCAGCTTTCCAAGCCAGATGTGGTATCTCAGTTAGAGGAGACGGAAGAGTTCTGGCTGACGGAGAGAGGAATTCTTCAAGACACTTTTCCAGGTGAGAACTAGGCACATGGGAGTCCCCCAAGGGAATGGGCCAACTGGTTAGTCAGGGACTAGTGTCTTTGGAAAATAGATGGAGAATGGGAGACCCCAGGAGGGTACTGTCATAAGCAAACTGCAGACATGCAGAACCAGGCTCCATATTTCCAGTTGCTTGGTTGAAAGTGAACCTGTTGCTGGTGTCATGTGGTATAGTCCTGTGTTTTTTTGTTTGTTTGTTTGTTGTTTTTTTTTTCCTTTTTGTCTTTTTCACTGACCGGTAACGGGATCGCAACCCTCAGTGTCGTGCCCGTACCGGGAACAGGCAGCGGGATCGCAACCCTCAGTGTTGCACCTGCTCCGTGCTCAGCCAGTGAGCGGGAATCGCTCTCCACATGTGATCCGAACCCTCAGCGGGAGCGCCGCTGCACTCTCAAGCGGCACACTCTCCAGTGCGCCACCGGGCCGGCCCTATAGTCCTGTGTTTTGACGGCAGGGGCTCCCTCACCCCATTCCACTCATTGTCTACTGCCATCCCCTCATGAATTCATTGGTAACTCTGTGTATGTCTTCAGCCAGAATTTTTTTATTTTTATTTTTTAAAGATGACCTGTAAGGGGATCTTAAACCTTGACTTGGTGTTGTCAGCACCACGCTCAGCAAGTGAGCTAACTGGCCATCCCTATATAGAATCCGAACCCATTTTGTCTTTTTCACTGACCGGTAACGGGATCGCAACCCTCAGTGTCGTGCCCGTACCGGGAGCAGGCAGCGGGATCGCAACCCTCGGTGTTGCACCCGCTCCATGCTCAGCCAGTGAGCGGGAACCGGTCTCCACATGTGATCCGAACCCTCGGCGGGAGCGCCGCTGCACTCTCAAGCGGCACACTCTCCAGTGCGCCACCGGGCCGGCCCTATAGTCCTGTGTTTTGACGGCAGGGGCTCCCTCACCCCATTCCACTCATTGTCTACTGCCATCCCCTCATGAATTCATTGGTAACTCTGTATGTCTTCAGCCAGAATTTTTTTATTTTTTTTTTTAAAGATGACCTGTAAGGGGATCTTAAACCTTGACTTGGTGTTGTCAGCACCATGCTCAGCAAGTGAGCTAACTGGCCATCCCTATATAGGATCCGAACCCGTGGTCTTGGTGTTATCAGCACATCACTCTCCCGAGTGAGCCACGGGCTGGCCCTTCAGCCAGAATTTTTTTATATGGGTTTATTTGTGTTGCTTAGTCTGTTTTCTGTTGCTTATAACAGAATACCTGAAACTGGGTAATTTATAAAGAAATGAAATTTCTTACAGTTTTGGAAGCTGGGAAGTCCCAGGTCAAGGGGGTGCATCTGGTGAAGGTCTTTTTACTGGTGGGGACTCGGCAGAGTCCTGAAGCAGCTCAGGGCATCACATGGCTAGAACGCAAGTGTATTCATGAGCTGTCTTCTCCTTATAAAGCCATTTCTGTAATAGCCCATTAGTCCATCAATGGATTTTTGTATCATATGGAGGCAGATTGTCCATATACTTTTGTGTATTCTAGTATTTTGTTTTTTGTTTAGTTTATCTGGAATTTTCTCTTGTATGTGGCATAGGACACAAGCTCTTTCAACACCATTTTCTGACTAGGTTCTGCCTCTGTTTATTGGAAACACCATCTTTCTCATGGACTAAAATTCCCCTTTTTTAGTGCTGGCATCTTTCTGCGCTCTCCCTTGTGGTCCCTTGATCTTTTCTGTCTCTGAGTAAACACCATGTTTCTGTGTTTGTAACATGTTTATAACAAAGTTGGATAAATGGTAGTTTCTCTAATTAAAAAATAATTTTCAGCTGTCCTCAGCTATTTAGTTCTCCAGATGAACCTTATCATTAGCTTGTCAGTGTTCATTAAGAAAATCCTGTCAGGATGTGTATTACATTTGATTAGGCTTTCATTGTTGCTGTGTCTGCATGAGTTAATCCTCCTTCATAGTCTTCAGTAGTTGTTCTACATGAACTTGTCATGCTGCTAAATCCTCTTATCATTTGTAATAGTTGTGGTAGATTCTCACTAATTTTCCCAGTAAAAAGTCATTTTACCAGCCAGTATAAAGGAGGAAGCAGTTGTATTAATTTTTTTCTTTTTTACTTTTTTTGGGCAATAATGTAATTACATTCATCATAGGTAGTACTTCCAAAACCTTGTGAAGCTGAGAGCATAAAGAATGAGAGCCTAGTCTCTGATTTAAATGGGAAAGTTTTTAGGTTTTGATAAACACGATGCTGGATTCTGCTTTGATTCAAGTCAACTTTTATCTGGATAAAAATTAGTCATCTAGCCTTTTCTAATGAATGAAAACCAGTAACATCCCCAATTTCCCTTCCAGCACCTACCAAGATCATCACAGAGATTTTCTGTTTGAACAGTTAACTTGGTGACATAAAAGACATAGAAGTGCCCTTTTTGTAATGTGCAGCTGAAGTCTGTTGGGTTTTTTTTAGGATTTTTATGTCTATTTTCACTGTTGTGGGGAGGTGACTTTTTTCTTCATGTGTTTGCTATCTCTCAGCTTTTCTGTTGGAATGTGCTGGCTACAAAGCACACTGGATGCCTACCCTCCTCACTGGTCTCTGTGCTCTAATGGAAGTGGCATTGGAACTACCTGTTTCTGGCAGTATCAAGGTGTGAAATCACCTGTGATTTGGTGATTACCTGTTCATCACAGGATGGAGGGACTGGAGTCTCCATAACTCCTTGCTTCCTTTTTCTGGACCTTGTTTCTGGTCTCTCCATATTTCAGCTTGATGGCTCGGAATTAATGTTTTGTGTTTTTCTTTTCCACATTCAAAGTTCTTCCTTCCATTCCCTTTATTGAAAATCTCCTTTCTGATAGTTGCACAGGTCACTAAACCGTACCTCACCTGAGAGGTCTTTAGCAATGCAAATGCTTTTGTCTCTGCCTATGGTGGTTTCTCTGCTTCCTGGTTGCTCTCCTCCATTCAGCTTCCTAATGTCCCTTCTGGTCATTGTGGCTCTGGATGTACTCTGGCTATGACAGGTTTGTGTCTCATCCTCCCTCAAGTCCATTGCCCTGCATGGGCAAGCCTCCCAGCCATGCACTTCTGGATGATCTAGTAGTTCCACAAATCCAGTTGCTGTGGGGGGCACTGTGGGTGCCTGTGGTTCTGCACATCTGGGGAGAGCTGGCTCCACAGGTGACAGGAGATTCAGGGGTGGTGTCCCAGTCCAAGAGGCTATGTGAGGGAGGCTCATCAGGAAGCTGTCTTGTAGACTAGGCCTGCAGTGATGGGTGCCCAACTCATCTCTGCTGTCACAAAGAGTCCCTTTTTTGAGATTTCTTCCCCTCCCTCTCCTTCTCTGACCTCACGAGTATTTACAGAGGACCTCTTCTGTCCCATGCGGTATATTAAATACTTGGGTGATAATCCCTGCCATCACAGACTTCATAGTATAATAGATGAAGGCTTTTTACAAACAGGTTATATAGATATAACGATAAATTGTGGTAAGTACTGAGAAGGAAAAGAACATGGTGTAAAGAGGGGAGTGATGGGGAATTCCTCTAGAGAAGGTAGTTGCGGGACACTGCTGGCATGAGATTTAAGCTAACTTCTGAAGGAAAAAAAGTCTGCAGACCTGTAAGTGGTGGTGAAGAGAACTTTCAGGCTCGGAAACACCATTTGGGGTGACCATGAGATTGGAAACTGCTTGGCACATTCAAAGAACAGAAAGTTGCCCAGTGGGCTAGGAGTAGATAATAGGTGTAAAGACATGCAAGTTAAGTTTGGCAGAGCACATAGGACTTCATTAAGCTGTGAGGGGAATTTGATTTTCATTCTTGAGCAGGAGAGTGACATGGCTTTTCACAGCTCACTTTGGGTGGATTGTGAAGAAGGAACTGTTGTAGGGCACAGATGGAGGCAATCGGGGCTGAAGCATCCAAGTTCATTAAGCTGTGAGGGGAATTTGATTTTCATTCTTGAGCAGGAGAGTGACATGGCTTTTCACAGCTCACTTTGGGTAGATTGTGAAGAAGGAACTGTTGTAGGGCACAGATGGAGGCAATCGGGGCTGAAGCATCCAAGGAAGAGGCATTAATACCTAACCTGAGAAAGGAGCTGCAGGGTTGGGGAGAAGCAGGTGTGAGTGATTAGGAATATTCATTGGGCCTAGGTAAGTAATTGGCTGAAAGGGACAAAAGAAAGGAAGCTTCACCGAATTACTTGTAGGTGAAGGGAAGACTTAAGTGATCTCCTGTAACTATTCTTTGTGTATACAGTCATGTACCACATAACATTTCTGTCAATGACAGACCACATATACAATGGTTTTTATTCCATAGTCTAGGTGTATAGTAGGAAATGCCATCTAGGTTTGTGTAAGTACACTCTATGATGTTTGCACAACCATGGTATCACCTAACCACACATTTCTCAGGATGTATCCCTGTTGTTAAGCAACACATGACTCTTCACAGGTGGCCCTTGGTATCTGTGGAGGGATGGTTCTAGGACCCCCCCCCCTCCCCACCATGGGAACCAAAATACGTGGATGCTGAACTCCTTTATATAAAATGCTGCAGTATTTGTACATAACCTATACACATCCTCTCATATACTTTAAGTCACTTCTTGAGTACTTATAGTACCTAATACAGTGTAAATGCTATGTAAATAGTTGTTATACTCTATTGTTTAGGAAGTAATGACAGGAAAATAAACTCTGTGCTTCTTTAGCACAGACACAACCATCCTTTTTTTCTTTCCCATAAATTTTCTGGTATTTTGGCAGCTGGCTGGCACAGGGATTGAACCTTGAGCCTTGGTGTCATCAACACCACACTCTAACCAACTGAGCTAACCAGCTAGCTATTTCCCAAGTATTTTTGACCCACAGTTGCTTGAATCCATGAATGCAGAACCCATGGATACAGAGGGCCAACTGTACATTCTTTTTGTATGTATCAATGTCTTGTTTTAATTTTAAAGGGACTGACAGGTTAGCTCAGTTGGTTAGAG